TCAAAAGCTTAGTTTCATTCACTGGAGTATCATTAAAGTCACGACAGCTTCTTGATCACAAAGTCAAAGTCGATAAACTCACCTGAGCTTCTTCTTCTCAGCTAGCTTCCTCGCTATGTCTTATACCGAGAACCGAGTATACCCATGACTTCTCTCCAACCTGATTCTCCGCAGCCATGTGCCGTTAATCGAGCCTCCATGATTAATATTAGATCTCACCCCACAAACTCCCCCGCATTCATGCTTTCTTCCCCTAGTCTCCAAGTTTAGTAGGCGGAATAATTACCTGAATATGAATAGAGCTCCCCCTAGTCTGGGGAATTTCGCTTTAAGACATTTCCGAAGATCGACAATATAAACAAACTATCTCATTAAAAATAAACTTTTACAAGGTAGGCTAATATGCTCTTGTATCACGCGTCCGAATCTTGAAGTTGAGTCAAGATGTTGTTCGGGATAGTATCTCGGTCATGTCTCATGCTCTTATCTCTTTCCAGGTGTGCTTACGCGGAAGTGGTAGCAACCGAGAATGAAACCCAGCTCGTCATCCAGAATGACCGACTATACACACGTGTCGACAAGGCCTCTGGTGCCATGGATGCCATCGTGTTGGATGGTCAGAACCTCCTAGGCACCCGCTCAGGATCTACCGGCATATTCAATTTAGATTGTTACTGGTAAGTAATACTATGAAACATTTACAAAGTAACGTAACGTGCTGAGCCCAATCAAGTACCCCGAAGGGCTTCTGGACACCCGGATCGACGCAGCCGACATATGAGCTATACTCCGGAATAGACTCGACGGGGACAAGCTTCGGCGGTATCAAGATGTCCGACACATATACCCCTACCGGCCAAGTTCTCGAGCAATATTGGTTCCTCAGAGACGGAGAAACAGGCCTACATGTATTTTCACGTATTGCGTATCACAACGAGACCACTCCGTTTTTGCGCAACTTACAAGAATTTCGAACCCTGTTCCGTCCGAATTCAGATATATGGACGCATCTCGCAACCAACGGAATACAATATGCGCCGCTTCCCGGTAAGGAAGCCAAGGCGAACCAGGTTGTCGTACAAGGTAAGCAATTAATAAAGCCTACGTTGAACAGTCCCGCAAGCCGGAGGCTCGGGGAGAAAAAATGTTTCGGGGACGCCCGAAACATGACTTCGTATTCTTCCGCACGTGAAGTCCTCGCACTCGGAAAATACTAACTACGAGTGTCACAGATGCTACGTGGTACATGGGTAACACCCCTAATGACCCGTATGTCCAGCAGGAGGCAGACTACTTCACTAAGTATACCTTCCAGGATACTTGGAGAAATCATGATGCTCATGGGATGTTAGTTGAGTCCCGGTCAACTAAGCAAGTCGTAAACTGACTTGGCCTGACAGGTATGCCGATGGGTCTCAGATTGCAGACAATTCTACGTTTGGAGCTGTAAGTAGATGACTAGCTGAAAGTTCATCAGTTGTGAACATACAAGTTTTATGACTTGAGATGAGATGATAAAGGAAATATACTTGTAGACACAAGTTCTGACTCGTATTTCTACAGTGGATGGTTATGAACACAAAGGAAACCTACTTCGGAGGCCCTCTACACTCTGACCTGGTAGTCGATGGGATTGTATACGATTATATGGGTTAGTTAGTAACCAGTCATGAGCTCAAATTAAGCCACTAACTCAAATTACAGTCTCAAACCATCACGGAGACCAAACGGTAAGTTGACATTCATCATTCACATGTACCAAGGCACTAACAGCTCAACAGCCAAACATCACCAATGGATTTGACCGAACATTCGGCCCAGTAAGTTAAAGACGCGATCTCGCACCCCCACGCCTATGCTGACCGGGTCAGCAATACTTCTATTTTAATCACTTCCCTGCCGGGACCGACCTCCAGGTTCTCCGAGAAGATGCCACGCAGTTCGCAGATCCGGAATGGAATACCGAGTTCTACGATTCCATCGCGCAATACGTGCCCAACTACGTCTCCAGCAAGCAGCGCGCGACTTGGGAACTGCAAGTAGACCTGCCTAAGAACGCCAAAAACCCAATTGCCATACTATCGCAAAACGGGGTCGATTTCCAGGATAACGCCATCGACACCAAGGCCTACCAGTACTGGGCTGAGATCGACGATAGCGGCCGTGCCACCATCCCTCGAGTAAAGGAGGACACGTATCGGCTTACGATCTATGCCGATGGTATATTCGGGCAGTACGTCCGGGACGACGTAGAAGTGCGTACCGGCGGCAAAGTAGAGACGACTCGGGTTAAATGGGAAGAGGAGAGCGAAGGAGAAGAGATATTCCGCATAGGCACGCCTGACAAGAGTAGCGGTGAATACCGGCACGGTTACGAGCGCGATCCGACACATCCGCTCCATCCTGAGCAGTACAGGGTGTATTGGGCCGCGTACGACTTTGTCGAGGACTTCCCAGAGGGCGTCACGTTCAAGGTCGGCGAGAGCGACGTGGGCAAGGACCTGAACTACGTGCATTGGAGCGTCTTCGGCGGCTATGCTAACTCCCTTCGCCCCGAGCCATACGTCGGCGACGGCAACGTAAACAACTGGACCATCGCGTTCGACCTGGAGCAGTCCCAGCTCGACCAGAAGCAGCAGGCGACGTTCACGGTCCAGCTGGCTGGAGCCAAGACCGCCGCGGGCAACACGGATGTCTTCAACGCTTCCGAGCCCCACGCCAACCTGGCGTATACCGTCAGCGTGAATGGGAGGGATCTCGAGCCCTGGGTTATCCCGTGGTATCAGAGCAGCTCGTGCGCGGTGCGGTCCGCAGTAATCTGCTATAACGTCGCGCACAAGTTCGTCTTCGACCCGGTCTTGCTTAAGGAGGGTGAGAATAGTATCGTCCTGAGCTTGCCGTTCGACGCGACTAACTACGAGAGCGCGGTGCTGCCTAACTCGGTATACGTGCAGTACGACGCGCTGAGACTAGAGGTTAGCTCGACGAAGAAATGCGGTCGTAAGAGGGCCACGTAGAAACTACATACGCTAATTAGAGTCCTTTGAGGGGGTATCTGTAACTAAAAATAACCTTAGTGCTTATATATATCTATCTATCTATCTAATAACAAGCCTTTCCCCTTCTTACTATACTAGGCTGGGTGTTTTATAGGCCTTCGTTGTTATGGGTGCTCCGCTCTAAATAGAAAGTTAGTCTCGTGCCTCAGGGATGGACATTGTAAGTCATGGATCGGGATGTGATTTGCAAATACACATTCTAAAGCATATATTAGGTATCTACCTATGTAGGTATACATATCTTAAGCTAGACGAGCTCGACTGTTATATGCAAAGCTGAATTATATACTTTGTAGCCGGTAATGTAGCTTATCTCAGTATTCTATATTGGACTTGGAACGACGAGGATACCATGTTTCAGACTTAGGTAATTAGGTAAACTACATTATAGAGAATACGTTGGCATTTCCAATGATAATAAGAGACCTTCTATTCCCCTTGTAATTAACTGGTTATCTCATGCAAGTGACGGTCTAAATATTGGCCCGGCACATCCCCCGACCCGGTAAACACAGCACCCTTTCCAAGTTTGACGTAATCCGATTCTCCCCGGGAGCCTAGCGGGACGGATCATGCAATATTATCATCTGGTCACAAGTGTTATGCTTCCCGGTACAAATCCCTACGAATTTGATAGTAGTATCACCAATAATAATAGGGTCTCAGCTCGCCGAACCGGGCTGTTAAGGGGAAGGGGGGGGTACTAACAGGTAGCTAAAGGAGGAAAAGCTAGATCAGGCTGGCGTATAGGAACTTCAACTTCAGCTATCTAAAATATTACCCCCTCCCCCTCTCCTCTCTATCTCTCCGGACCTTCTCGTTACGGGAACTATATCGAGGGGCTGCGCCGTAGGAGCTGATCGCCCAGAGTAGAAAAACTCTCCGCCGGCGCGGCGCCGCGGTTGTTATACTATTACAAATCAAGCACCGAGCGGGTCGGAAAGGGTCCCGGACTGCCTCTTTTGCATGATTTATGATACGATCAATAATGTTAGGTTAGGTACGTAACCTAGGTTGCATAGTATAATACCAACATGCCCACGTACCTGGTCACAGTTAGGATTCATGTCTATACTACAGTGGATAGGTAGGTTAGCCTACACACTTTCCCGCATGATTCCTACATAGGTAACGAGACATTATATCCCCTATGAAACAAAGTATACGCAAAAAAAAAAAAAAAAAAAAAACTCCCTCCCCAGTAATCTATAGGCACTCGGAACATCCGAATGGTGATGACCGCAGCCTTTCGCCGACATATCACGTTTCGAGTAGAGGGCGTGCGCCTCCGTATCGGACTGCTGATCCGTCATGGTATTGGCTGAGCGGGCGCACGACGGCCTCGGCGATTTTTTATGCGTGCGCCACTCTCCCTTCCTTCCCCCCTCCCTCTCTCCGAACAATACATACTCTTTTCGTCTGCATACTATGCTATGTTAAGTATTAGTTCAGCTCAGCTCCCCCGCATGCCGGTTCCGAGCGGCCCATTTGCCGAACTAGGGTCGTTTCGTCAGTCATAAAAAAAAATAAAAAATAAAACTTAACCTATAATGAGGCTCTGCTCTACTCTGCTCTTCCCCCCACGCATGCTGCCATCGATGGAACTGTAATGCGCAACCTCGTCTTACACCCGACTAATCAATCGCTAGCCAGCCTGACCTAAAACTCCGAGTGGCAGAACTAGACTTGTTTAATCCCTGGTCTGCTATAGTTCTTAGCTAGCTAGCTAACTAGCAAGCAAGGCACGTCAACATCAGACCACTTAATAGGAATACGTTGTCGTTACGTGCTGATCTGATTTGGTACATGTACATTTCAGCTTGCATAAGAAGATCGTCTACCCATACTTATACCTGCTTGGCGAGGAACCACATCTTATAGGCTTTATAGGGGAAGGATAGAAACCGGGTACTCAAACCTCGCATCCTCTGAATCGCAAAGATGGGTCACAAGACGTTACAAATCACAGAAGTACGTCCTAAATCAACCTATCTCCCCAACCATCCATCCTCTCTTTTTTTACTCACACGCCCTTCAAGCTGTACATCTACCCCATCAAGTCCCTACGCCCAGTATCCCTAGACAGGGCACTGCTGCAGCGTGAGGGGCTCCGGTACGACCGGCGCTTTATGCTGCTTAAAGCCGAGGCCGGCGGAGGATACAAGAACATCCAGGTGTACCACTTCCCGGAGTGTGCGCTCTTCCACCAGGCCATCGACAACGACAACGATGATGACCATGTAGTCGTCACCTACCGTATCCCGGAACACCCGCTAGTGGTTCCGCCCCCTCCGGAGCAATATACCGCCTTACGCGTACCTCTTAACCCCGCTATCGCCGGTCTCGAGACCGTCGACATCAAGCTGTTCAGCAGCTCCGCCACAACTTATCGCATGGGCGATACCTACGATGCTTGGTTTTCCGCGTGTCTAGGCTACCGCACCATCCTCGTCTACATCGGCGATAACCGGCGCTCGGTGCTAGCCCACGCGCCGCAGCCCGAGCAGCCACAGACGCAGTCCTGGTTTTCGCACCTGACGTCCTTCGTGCCCTACTACGGGCAGCAGCAGCCGTCGTCGTCGAAAGAAAAGGCCTCCGGGCTAGTCTTCAACGAAGCAGCGCCGTTCCTCCTGACGTCCAAGGCCTCGCTGCGCAACGTCAGCGCGCGGCTTCCCGAGGGCCAGGAAATGGACATGATCAAGTTCCGGCCCAACATCGTCGTCGACGAGGTGTGGGAAGAGTCCTCGGGCTCGGAAGACAGCGACGATGACGCGCCGTCGATACTCGCCGCATGGGACGAGGACTTCTGGGCGGAGCTTTCGGTGGGATCTACGCACCGGCTCGCGCTGACGGCGAACTGCGCGCGCTGCGTCTCCATCAACGTCGACTACGCGGCGGGGCGGCCGGCCTCGGGCGAGCTGGGCTCGGTGCTGAAGAAACTGATGAAGGATCGCCGCGTGGACGCGGGTAACAAATGGTCACCCATCTTCGGGCGGTACGCGTTTCTGCTACCGTCTGCAAATAGCAGCAGCAGTGGTGGCGGTGAGGCACACGAGTTAGACGCTGACGTCGCCGTGGGGGACGAAGTCAAGGTGATGAGACGCATCAGCGAGCGAGACACGTGGGCCTGGCCGAAATGAGGCCGGCCGCCGGTATGACGGCGGGTGTGCGCAACAGTGGAAAGACAGGATGATATTGATGTCGTTGTTGTTATTATTATTGTTGCTGTTGGGCAGACCGACAGGCAGTATAGTAAGGAGAAGGGAGTGTGTATAAGTGAGAGCAAGCATTCGAAGAGAAGAGGTGCCGGAATGGAGCCAGCGACGTCTAAATTGCGTCAGGGGCTTAGACAAGCAAAACAGCTGCAGAAAGCTCAAGCCCCAAGCCCCAAGTAACAGGTGTCGATCAGATAACTGGCTTACGCACGAGGCCGTCGGATCGCGATTCTAGTTACATCCGGCCGGTCCAAACTTGGTCTCCGGGAAGAGAGCGGCTGGGGAATACCCGGATATCGCTAGTAAGGCGAAGTCTGGTCCCACGTTGCACGTTACCATGTTGTGTGTATCTGTAGCCGCAGCGAGGTTAGCTATTGTCTTATCTTGCCTTGTTTTTTGTTTTTTGTTTTTTTTCCTACCTTGCTTTGCCTCGTTTTGGCTTGAAAGGGAGGACAAGCTGAGTTGATAAACCATGTAGGTTTATGTATGGCAATCATGCATAGCATATATAATATATAATATATAATGATTGTGATACAATGGTGATGCAATGATATTTCCCTCATCAAGGCTGGCCGTTGTGTTTCCCCAACGTTGGTTACCGCGTACAAGCGTACAAACGTACAAACGGTATGTGCCACGCCGTCTTTCCATAATAAACCCAATGGATCCAATAGATATTCCAAACGTTCCAGAAGCCGACGGGACCTTGCAGACCGCCGCGTGTGCGAAAGAAACGCGTGTCCCCCACGTCGCACAGCGTTTGCATGTAGCCCTGCCTAAATCTCAGCTCCCCCCTTTACCCCCTTATCCCCGTTGGGCTGCACGTAGCAGCCTCAACTTTGACTTCATTCTAACCTGATCTTACCCGATCTTTCTCCAACCTCATAAGGAACCGATATCTATTGAAACGTGGCATCACTGTTAGATTTGCCTGAAAATTCTTATCTCCGAAACCAACAATGTGATTTTTCTATTTGAGAGTAATAAACATGAATATGATTTTTTGGCGTACTTGCGTACTAGTCCTCTTTCGCCGTAATTTCTTTTTTTTCCTTTTCTTTTCTTTTTTTCCTTCACGCCAAACCGAAAAACCCCACGTAATAAGAAAGGAGAAAACATAGACCAGGGTAACTTGGCTGGTTGGTTGTTCACCTCCATATTGTAACCATGTTGGAAGGGTGCCCCTTTGTAACTTTGTGCGAGATAAAAAGGAAAATGAAACATGATCCATCGCAAACACGCACTTAACCATTGCCTGTCCTCAAATCCTACACCTGTGAAGTTCCAATCGTAATTTAACTTATTCCATTGTACATTCCATTGCGAAAAAAGAAAGGGGATATCTCTATCATGCGCAGACGCCGACCTAATTGACAATGCTATTCCAGCATGTCTCGAGACTCCGAGAACGACCACAGTAAGAAACGGAAAAATTGGATCAATCCATACCCGTGTGGGAAGACACCAGAAACCTGCGCAAAATACATTGTCTATGGGGGTACATGAAGGAAATCATAATCATGAGTTGCCGTCAAACAGGGCTAAGGTAGTGCCGCGTACAGCCTATGACAACGGTGTAACAGTTTGTCGGGAAGTGATCTATCATCGGGATCTAAACATATTGGACCGGGATACGCTGTGGCTTCATCAAGTGGCTGAAAATGTAAGGTCAGGGGCCTGAGGTACTGCTGGAAATGTCACTGAGAAGACAACGGTTTAAACCAATAGGATGATGTTATGGCTGTCCTGCAGGATCTTAGCGCTGTCGACAAGGGGCCCCCCGGTAACAACTTCCGGATATCGAGGGCCATTGCGTGTGTCGAATCTTTTTTCCTGTCGGGGTTCGAGAACCTCGTTATTCTTTTTTCCGTATGTAAATCCTGTCCCGTAACGCCGGATGAAGAGGTTCCCTCCAATCGAAAAAAAAAAGTGAAGCTTAGCTTCAAAAGAGCCGGGACCAAGGTTCTGGGACTAAAATGAGCGCCTTGTTAGCCTTTTGCTTATTTCTTCTGTCATATTGGAATCCCAGATAATGACATATGAGACGTGACAGATACGAGTTTCCCACTTACATCTATGAAAAAGGCCAATAACAACAGAACAGCACGGTCCGGATCCTCCCCGTGCTTAGACATTGTGGACACAAGCCCGGCACGTGTGGATCTTGCAGTATCTACACTCGAAAATCCACCAGTGCGGGCCCGAGTGACACAAATTACAGGTCCATTGGACAAGCGTGCTGTCTGACTTCAGCATCTTAAAAGAGTGCGCGCAGTTGCTTCCCACGGCCATTTCTTAAGATGTGAGCAGTGATCTGTCCTAGAAGACTTCTTTTGAACGCTGGGGATAAGAGTGCTGGACAGCTTGGGGTGGTAGTAGATTTGCTTAGTCTTTCCTAGAGGTGGTGTTAGCTGCATAGTCGATAAGTCGGTTTTTAAGTAGTAAGATACTTACTTGTGCAAGTATCGATACAGAGGTAAGGATTAGTTGACAAGATGTTGTGATGTATGCTGCTGGGTGTAATGAATGAAGAATATGACTAGTGAATATGGAGAAGAGTGTCGAGGAAGAAGACTCAAGAGGTGATGGAAGAGAGACTTTAAATAGTTGACAGGCTACAAGTGAATAGGTACATGGAGATGACCCTGAGGTTCAACCAGAGAAAGCGTTGGGTTTATTTATTGTTTGCCAAATGTGGGTTTGTAACGGGAAGATGTTTATGAGCAGCCTGTTTGTAGTCTAGAACTGGTAGAGAGTCATGTAAACTAGGCGAGGCGGAAGTTATCTTTTGTAGCAGAGTGAAAACAGTCAATGGGCGGTGGAGGTGGAGAGGGTAGGGGGGGTTAAATGTGATGTGTAACTACCTAGTTACTCGACGGGATGTCGTTGCAAGCTTGAAAGCCATGAGAGAGGCTCAAATAATAATATTTATGTACGGTTCTATCATATCGACTACCCTGTGCCTATGACGAACGGTCGGGTCGGCAGTGTTCCCGTTAGGTCCATACTATGTAACTCGGCACTAGGAGCGTTACCAAAACCAGGGACGGGTAGTTAGAAAACTAGACTAGATAGAAACAGGACTTGATCTTGGGTGAGGTGATTGACATGAAGGAGTTGGGGTGGAACAGGCGCGTTGCCCGAGTGGAATTTTCGATGACAGGGGAAATGTCGAGACTTAAGAGAAGAAAGTGATTTTCTGCGACAGGGCTTCGACCTGATCGGGGTTTTTTTAAACTTCAACTTTCCAAGGTTGTCACTTCTAATTAACCTTAATACCTAATACACTGAATTACATGTACCTAGGTACTTAACTCACTCGGGGGAAGGTACGGAAGGTACTTTATAATTCGTACTTTCATGTCTACTTTAGGTAGGTTAGACGTAACTGCCTGAACGGTGACCGCGTCTGACCTGTTTCTCCTTTTGTAGAGGGTCGGGTCAAGACTACCTTTACAGTCGAATCTAGATACATCGAATGTACGCAAGAAAGTAAGAAGTACATTGAAGATGTGTATTTGTGTAAGAGTTAAGTACCTATTTGTATACCGTATTCATATGTCGAACATGTACCTACCTAGCATACTTACATACAAATATTTATGTACGTATGCGTGGTTCGCTATACGCAAGGAATATAGAAGAATCTAAAACGGACAGAAGACGAAAAAAATTATTTTCAGTCTAGTTTGGAAGAATAATTACAAAACCCCCCCCCCAAAAAACAAAGCAATAGGAATTTAAAGCGAAGGGACGACCTTAAGCTACTTTGGGAATCAAGGGCCTAGGCAGAGAGCACTGACATATGTGCATGGGGCAATGACACGACATGGAACCATAACGGTTTTTAGTTATTAATAAGTTTATTAAGTGCGGAATTTGAAATTTAGATCAATTAATATTTTCTTGCCGTAAGTCCCTTCGTTTCTGTTGTTGCTGCTCTGGTCTGACTGCTTGCAGCACCAAGAACCGGTCTGAGTACGATGTTTGAAATATGACAATGTACCTTTCCATCTGTCCGTTTCTATACCTCAGGGAGGTATAAATTCTCAGAGAGTCAAGGCCTGGGATTGGGCAAGGTAAGGCGTACAAAAAGGATTCCTAGTAGAGCGCTTTAAGCACCGAAGACCAGTCACAATCTGAAGCTAGCGAACGGCACATACTCAGAAACGTATTGGTCTTATCCCTCACCGGTCGGCCCTCGCCGCCTACCCCCTACCTTACAGCAATTGCCGAATCGGTAACTAAAGAAGTCCTTACCGGTTGACCATGTCCTGTTTCCAATGTACCTCGCGTAAAAGTGCTCATATATATATCGTTTGAGCCTAGAAACAATATAGAATCTCGACCAAAGGTTACATATTTACGGTTTCCTGTTTTCGATCGGAGAGAATATAGTTCCGTAGTAGTCCAGGAACCATTGGCGTACATATACTACATACATACATCCTCGAGGTAAGGTGAGCCGGAGCTTGCTAAAGTCTGGCGCGGTTCGCAATGACCGGCACGGTTCGCCAAGGATGATTGTCCATATCTGATTCCTGAACCGGCGCTCCCATTTATTGGTTAGTCTAGGGAGGCACCTCATCGTCCGGGCTGTAATACTCCTCTATACCCACGCAGCGTAGTCCTGCGAACGGGTCCGGGGGTCACATTACGTGCGGATGTAGGTAGGTGACTATGTATCCTTGGGTACAAGACCATGCTAAGGTAGCCCTCTGAGGCAACATCCCGACGTGCTACCAAGGGGGGGTTGGATGAGTTCCATCGAACGTGGGTTGCAAGATCTGACTACGACGTAGAGCCATTGTGAGGGTATGTGACGTACCCAGTATACTGTTTCCGTGATACATCGGAGTTATGGGCAATTGGTTGGTGTTGGCGAACGCATAAAGACAGGGCTAGAGTGAGCATTAGGGCGT